TTTCCTAAGCCCTGCTTGTACATCTGGAAGTTCTTGATTCATGTACTGCTGAAGCCTAGCTTGAAGGATTTTGAGCATAACCTTGTGAAATGAGTGCAATTGTATGATAGTTTGAACATTCTGTCGATGCTCTTATTTGGGTTTGGAGTGAAAACTGACCTTTTCCAGTCCTGTGGCCACTGCTGAGTCTTCCAAATTTGCTGACATATTGAATGTAGCACTTTAGCAGCATCACCACTTAGGATTTTAAAGAGCTCAGCTGGAATTCCATCACCTCCACTAGCTTTGTTCATAGTAGTGCTTCCTGAGGCCCACTTGACTTCATACTGCAAGATGTCTGGTTCAAGGTGAGTGACCACACTATCATGGTTATCCAGGTCATTGAACCTTTTTTTGTATAGTTCTTCCATGTATTCTTGCTGGTTCTTCTTAATCTTTTCTGCTTCTTTTAGGTCCTTACCATTTCTGTCCTCATACTCATCCTTGCATGAAATGTTCCCTTGATATCTCCAATTTTATTTTTTTTCCAATTTTCTTGAAGAGATCTCTAGTCTTTCCCATTCTATTGTTTTCCTCTATTTCTTTGCTTTGTTCACTTAAGAAGGCCTTCTTAACAATTTGATGTATGGCAGAAACCAACACAATGTTGTAAAGCAATTATCCTTCAATTAAATATAAATTTTTTAAAAAAATTTAAAGGCCTTATCTCTCCTTGCTATTTTCTGGAACTCTGCATTCAGTTGGATGTATCTCTCCCTTTCTCCCTTGCCTTTCATTTCTCTTCTTTCCTCAGCTCTTTATAAAGCCTCCTCAGACAACCTCTTTGCCTTCTTGCATTTCTTTTTCTTTGGGATGGTTTTGGTCACTGCCTCCTGTACAATGCTATGAACTGCCATCCATAGTTCTTCAGTCACTCTGTCTACTAGATCTAATCCCTTGAATCTATTGATCACTTTTACTGGACAATCACAAGGGATTTGATTTAGGTCATACCCAAATGGCTTAGTGATTTTCCCTACTTTCTTCCATTTAAGCCTGAATTTTGCAATAAGGAGCTCATGATCTGAGCCACAGTCAGCTCCTGGTCTTGTTTTTGCTGACTGTATAGAGCTTCTCCATCTTCAGCTCCAAAAAACATAATCAATCTGATTCAGTATAAAATTTCTGAAATAAAACTAGAGGGAATGCTATTGATACCTGTCTTAGGGTTGATTTTTAAGATTTGAACCAAAGGCAAAGGCAAAAAATTTAAAAATAAACAAGTGGAACTATTTCAAACTAAAAATTCTCTGCACAGCTAAGGAAATCATCAACAAAAGGAAATACAACCTCCTGAATAGAGGAAAATATTTGCAAATGATATGTCTGATGAGAGGTTAATATCCAAAATATATAAAGAGCCTTTACAGCTTAATTTTTAAAATTTCATTAAAAATGGGTCAGAGGATCTGAATAAATATTTTTACAGAGAATACAAATACCCAACAGGTACATGAAAAGGTACTCAGCTTCACTAATTATCAAAGGAATTGAAATCAAGCCATAATATGATATCATATCACCTCACACCTATTAGAATGGCTTTTATCAAAAAGACAAGGAATAACAATGGTTGGCAAGAATGTGGAGAAGAGGGAATTGTGGAGAAGAAGGTGCACTGTTGGTGGGAGTGTAAATTTGTGCAACTACTATGAAAACCCTATGGAGTTTGCTGAAAAAATTAAAAAGAAAACTACCTTATGATCCCACAATTCCACTTCTTGGTATTTGTCTAAAGAAAATGAAAAAAATAAATTCAAAAGATATATGCACCCCCATGTTCATTACAGTACTATTTATAACAGCCAAGATATGGACGCAACCTAAGTGCCTATCGATGGATGAATGGATAAAGAAAATGTAATATAGAAACATCTGCTTTATTGACTACACCAAAGCCTTTGACTGTGTGGATCACAGCAAACCGTGGAAAATTCTTAAAGAGATGGGATTACCAGACCACCTGACCTACCTCCTGAGAAATCTGTATGCAGGTCAAGAAGCAACAGGTAGAACTGGACACAGAACAACAGACTGGTTCCAAATCAGGAAACGAGTATGTCAAGGCTGTACATTGTCATCCTGCTTATTTAACTTATATGCAGAGTACATCATGAGAAATGCTGGGCTGGATGAATCACAAGCTGAAATCAAGATTGCCAGGAGAAATATCAATAACCTCAGGTATCAGATGACACCACCCTTATGGCAGACAGTGAAGAAGAACTAAAGAGTCTCTTGATGAAAGTGAAAGAGGAGAGTGGAAAAGTTGGCTTAAAACTCAACATTCAGAAAACGAAGATCATGGCATCCAGTCCCATCACTTCATGGCAAATAGATGGGGAAACAATAGAAATAGTGGCAGACTTTATTTTTGGGGGGCTCCAAAATCACTGCAGATGGTGACTGCAGACATGAAATTAATAGATGCTTGCTCTTTGCAAGAAAAGTTACGACCAACCTAGACAGCATATTAAAAAGCAGAGACATTATTTTGCTGACAAAGTCCCTATAGTCAAAGCTATGGTTTTTCCGGTAGTCACGTATGGATATGAGCGTTGGACCATAAAGAAAGCTGAGCGCTGAAGAATTGATGCTCTTGAACTGTGGTGTTGGAGAAGACTCTTGAGAGTCCCTTGGACTGCAAGGAGATCCAACCAGTCCATCCTAAAGGAAATCATCCCTGAATATTCATTAGAAGGACTGATGCTGAACCTGAAACTCCAATACTTTGGCCACCTGATACAAAGAACTGACTTCTTGGAAAAGACCCTGGTGCTGGGAAAGATTGAAGGTGAGAGGAGAAGGGGACAACAGAGGATGAGGTGGTTGGATGGCATCACCTACTCAATGGACATGAGTTTGAGTAAGCTGCAGGAGTTGGTGATGGACAGGGAAGCCTGACATGCTGCAGTCCTTGAGGTCGCAGAGTCAGACACAACTGAGTGACTGATCTGAACTGAATATAGAAAGATAAGACAGAGATAGATACACACACAAGAAAATATTACTCAGCCACCAAAAAAAAGAAGAAAAGAAATCTTGCCATTTGAGACAACAAGAATGGTCCTTGAAAATATTACGCTAAGTAAAACAAGCCAAACAAATGTTATGTGATTTCACTTATATGTGGAATCTAGAAAAACAAACAAAAATGAGTTCATAGATACAAAGAATACATTTCTTGTTGCCAAAGACAAGATGTGGTGGGCAAAGTAGGAGCAGAAGGTCAAAAGGTACAAACCTTCAGCTATAAAGTTAAAAAGCCATGGAGATGTAATGTACAGCATGGCAGCTATAGTTAATAATACTGTATTGTATACCAGAAAGTTGCTGAGAGAATAGGTCTTAAGAGTTCTCATCACAAGGAAAACAATGGTGTGATTATGTATGGTGAGGAAATTTAACTGCTCGTTTTGGTGATCATTTTACAATATATACAGATATTAAATCCTTACCTTGTACACTTGAAATTAATAAATTTTAAAAACTAGAGACTATCCTTTAAGAAAAAAAAAATTTCATTTTAGTGTCAAAATGAAAAACTACCACCCCAGGCACAAAAACATCTGGAAAGAGGTTAAATGTGTGGATGAGACAGAGGGGCAGGCAGAAAGTCAGAGTAATAGATCTTTCTACAACCTTCCCTGACAATTGCACACACACACACACACACACACACACCTATTATCTATTGCCTTGTAGCAGGACTTTGCCTGGATTTCTCATGCTGTTTCTGTGGTCTCTTACTGTTTGATGGTGTTCTGATCTTAATTCAGCCTCTTAAATGAATGAAAAAAATAAAAATTGAAAGTAACAATAGGTGAGATCTAGTATTACTGAAAAAAACAGTATTCTGTCTGCTGCTAGCATCTCAAGAGATTTCTGCAAAATAGAAAGTAGGTTAGAATGATATGATGAAAAACCGTCTTTTTGCACAGGAAGTGGGAGACTTCCTGGTAAACCGAGTAGAGTCTAAGCGGACCCAGAACTATTTCCAGGTCCATAAAGGCACATGTTAAAGGAGCCAGTGGCTCATGAGACCACCGGTGGCTTCAAATACACACCAGTAATTCTAGGGTTAGCTCTCTACAGATGTGGAGCCCACACTGGACCTCATGGCCTAGAACTAACCAGGACAATTCTCTTTGAAGTGTACCTTGTCCACAAATTTCAGTCTAAGACAGACAACAAGAAACACAGATCATAAAGTGCACACCAAGCAGAAAAATATCAGGGTAGGAAAAAAAAAAGACATTTATTGACTTCTACTAGTAGAGATCTTTTTGAGGACAAGTTTAATCCAAAGTGTAGGAGGTAAGCTCCATGAAACTGGAATTTTCTGTCAGAGTTTTTCTCCTTTCATTTATACAATGGAAGTTCCTTCTGCTCCCTTTTGAATCTATGCCCTTGTGTGCAAGTCGCTCAGTCGTGTCCAACTCTTTGCGACCCTATGGACTATACAGTCTATGGAATTCTCCAGGCCAGAATACTGGAGTGGGTAGCAGTTCCCTTCTCCAGGGGATCTTCCCAACCCAGGGATCGAACCCAGGTCTCCTGCATTGCAGGCGGATTCTTTACCAGTTGAGGCACCAGGGAAGCCACAAGCTTCTTTCTTTAGGATCTCTCAAAATCTTACAAATTTTCTTGCTACAAACTTTACTCTTGGATGACTCCTGATACATATGATATCCTTCTGCTCCCTTTTGAATCTATGCCCTTAGATGATTCAAAACAAGGGAGTCCCCAGGCTTCTTACGGGTCTCTCCCTAAAAATGCTTCAGCTGGCAACTGAGGTGTCAGCTCAGGGAATTTCTCTGATGGGCTGAAATGTGATAGAGCGGGGTGAGGCGTGGGCTGCTCCTACATGGCTTCTTCCAGCGGTTCTCTTTAGACCACCTTCTTGGCGAGGCACCACTCGGAACAGCCACTCCTGAGGATACCGTTGGAGGAGGAGGAGGATGAAGAAAGCTCTGATTCTGAGGGCTCTCGCTCTGGCCGCCGTGATGAGCCCCTGTGGAGGTGAAGACATCGTGGGTGAGTGTACAGTTGAAGGTGTGGGTTTAAAATTGTGAAGGAGAGTTTTTTAAATTTTTCTTTTATATTGGAGTATGGTGGCTCAGGTGGTAAAGAATCTGCTTGCAATGCAGGAGACCCAGGCTCAATGTCTAGATTGGGAAGATCCCCTGGAGAAGGGAATGGCTACCCACTTCAGTATTCTTGCCTAAAGAATCCCATGGGCAGAGGAGCCTGGCAGGCTACAGTCCATGGGGTCACAAAAAGTCAAACATGGCTTAGCAACTAAAAATTGTATATATATCTTCTTTGTCCATTCATCTGTCAATGGACATTTAGATTTTTTCCATGTCTTGGCTCTTATAAATAGCGTTGCTATGAAATAAAAGTGCATTTATCTTTTTGCATTATAGTTCTTTCTGGATATATGCCCAGGAGTGGGATTGCTGGATCATATGGCAACTCTATTTTCAGATGTGTATTCTAAATAACAAAGAGTTGTGTGTGTGTGTGTATGTGTGTAAAAGTTGCTCAGTCATGTCAAACTCTTTGTGACCCCACGGACTAAAAAGCAATATAATGCCAAAGTATAGCATGATCATTATAAGTGTAACTTCATGTTTGATTGTTTCAGAAATTTGGGTAATGTTGGTGGAAAACCTAGGAACTTAAAATAGGTCAGTCTCAGCTTGTCAACCCAAACTACCAGTCCTGTCACCTCCAGCCAGCAAAGCTCTAAAAAGAGGATAAAAAGAGATTAATCTTGGTTCATCAGCCCCTTCCGCTCCTCCATTCTGTACTCACAACACCTTGACGGTGGCTGATTCCACTAAATTTCAGTCCCTTGTCCAAAACTTTGTCCTACTATGTCATGGGCATTGACAACAGTTATTGAAACCCAAAGGGGGAAAAAAGTCAAGGAAAAGAGAAGAGGAATGCAATGGAATCTTCAAAACCTGATTGTGATTCATTAAATCAACACATATTTAGCGAGGTATCAAGCACTCTTCGGGGTGGTTGGCACAAAACAAGATTTCTGGGAATGCTGGTGGTCCAGGGGTCAGGCCTCCACGCTTCTACTGCCGGGGGACACAGGTTCAATCCCTGGTCAGGGAACTTAGATCCCTCATGCTATGTGGCACACACAAAAGCAACAACAACAAATCAAGATTCCTATCCACAGGAAACTCATGTTCTTACAATCAGACAGAGAACTTTTTAAAAAAAACACATCTCATAAGTAAATAAATTCCATAGTGCGGCAAGAATGAGAGAAGTACTATGAGAAGTAAGAGGTTAGGGGATTAGAAATAAATTTAAGAATTAAAATTATGTAATCATTATCTAGGGCTTCCCCAGTGGCTCGGGGGTAAAGAATCCACCTGCAATGCAGGAGACACAGGTTCAATCCCTGGGTCAGGAAGGTCCCCTGGAGGAGAGCATGGCAACGCACTCTAGTATTCTTGCCTGAAGAATCCCATGGACAGAGGAGTGGTCCAGAGGGTCACAAACAATCAGGCATGACTGAAGTGACTTAGCACACACTCAAGCTTTCATTATTAACTTATTTAGCTGAAATCTTACTGTGTGCCATGAGCCCTTCAAGTTACTGAAGGTACAGAGTGAATAAGACAGCATCTCAACACCTCATGGCATGTACATAACGCCCCCTAACCCCAAGACAGAAAAGACAGAAATAGGAAGTGGTATCGGACCAGGCCAAATATGAACCTACACTCCTACACAGACCATTTCTCATGTGTTTTCCTTTAATCAAATTCTTTCCCTTCCCCTGTATCCTGCCTCCCTCCCTGTTCTTACCTTCCTGCTTTGGAATGGCCACCAGCTGACCACGTGGGCACTTATGGCACAAATGTCTACCAGACCTACGGCGCCTCTGGCCAGTTCACATTTGAATTTGATGGAGATGAGCTCTTCTACGTGGACCTGGGAAAAAAGGAAACTGTCTGGAGGCTGCCCAAGTTTAACAATATTACCATGTTTGAAATTCAGAGTGCCCTGAGAAACATTATTATGTCAAAAAGAAATTTGGACATCTTGATAAAAAATGCCAACTTTACACCTGCCACCAACGGTAAGTGTGGCCTCTCTTCACGGCACCTACCTCATGTTCCTGGTCTCTTTTTCTTCCCCCAGAGTGCTACTCTTCCCCCAACACTCTAAATTGTTCTACCTTTCTATTTCATTTCCTGGCAAATACCCGGTGCTCAGCTACAGATTTAATCTTGAAAAATCCCTCCCCTAAGTTCTGAGACACTCCTTGTAGTTCTAAAAGAGGATATTCCCAAGCTCTTGGCCTAAGTAGCCAAGTAGTGCCTCAGCCCTCGTCTCCTTTTGGGAAAGAATTCAGCAAAGAGACCAAGTTTGTGGAATTGAAACAGTGCTTATTAAAAACAAAGTACGTGTGGGAGAGCACACAGGAGAACTCAGAGTTTGGAATTTGTTTTTTTGTTTTTTAATTAAACATTTTTAATGGGTCTCAAAATCCTGCGACAGATTTTTTTCAGGCTGTTTCCATTAAAAAGTACTGATTTTAAAAACTAATGACTGAAAACTGCCACACACAAAACAAATGGTCCATAAAACATTCTCCTTTCCTTCTGAAGTTTTTACAGTGCATTGTTATCATTAACCAGTCTTTTACGATTAAACATAAATGGCGAATCACTCCAAATGGACTGAGCTGCACGCAATAGGGATGATTTAGGTTGCTTATATGGGGGCAGTTTTCTGGCTTGTCTCTGGCCAGTCAGCTCGCTTGTGCCCATTCTTCACCTGACTCAGGGTTCTTCCTGATGGGCTGGCATCTCTCAGCCAAGGTGGATTCTGGCACAAAGGTTTCTGGGGGTTTGGCAGGACACCTTCTGGGCTGGCGTCTTCTTCCTCCTTTGTCCCTCCCTAGACTGAAGACGTCTTCTGCACAAGCATCAGGCTGGGAAATCCCCTTGACCAGAAGAACGAGGAAGTTGTGGTCACTTTGTCTTTCACCTAATCAGGGCCCCATGCCTCTGCTGGTATCCTGTCTTGAAGCATCAGCAGGAGACCAGTCGCGATTGCTCAGCCTGGGGCCCATCTGTCTCCTAGCTCACACACACCGACCCACTCTGCCCTGTGGATTCCCAGCGAGAAGTGCTCTAAGCTGCATAGTGACCCTAAAGAAGAGGACAGTTCAGAAGACAATTTACAGCACAGTTCAGAAGACCGTTCAGAATCTGTAGATAAAGATGCCAGCACCAGTTCTGAAGTCACCATAGATAGCATTAATCTTCCTCATTCAGAAGATGGAAAAGCCAAGGTCAAAGTTTTGGATAGTCCTGCCAGTAAAATAATAATAATAATAATCAATATATAATCTAAGAAACAGGTAAACATAAAGGGAGGTTGTGGCTGACTGTAAAGTGAGTCTGAAAGGACATAGGAAATAACAGACTAACAGCTGGGGAGATTGTGCATGGGGTGGGGGAGCCTCCCCTAAACTGATTAAGGAGGATAAGGCACGATTGTCAGAAATTCCAATCCATCTTTGGTCTTCCTTGTAGAAATCCCTGAAGTGGCTGTGTTTCCCAAATCCTCCGTGGTCCTGGGGATCCCCAATACCCTCATCTGTCAAGTGGACAACATATTTCCTCCTGTGATCAACATCACTTGGTTTTACAATGGACACTTTGTTGCAGAAGGTATCTCTGAGACCACCTTCTACCCCAAGAGTGACCACTCCTTCCTCAAGTTCAGTTACCTCACCTTTCTTCCCTCCGGTGATGACTTCTATGACTGCAGAGTGGAGCACTGGGGCCTGGAAGAGCCCCTCGTCAAGCACTGGGGTATGCCTAAATCGCATCATTGTGTACCCTCCAATTCTCTCTGGATCTTATGCCTGTCTTATAGCCCTGAACCCCCAGGGCCATGACTCAATTTCCCACAATTGCAGGGTTTTCTAATAATTGACTTTACTCTTCTCCCGAAGTTCAGGAGTTTTGTGCATTCCAAAACACACTCCCTTCTCCACATCCAATCCATCTGCATACAGTGTCCTTTTGAATCCAGCCTCTGTACTCTGAGACTGAATCAAACCTTGGAGACGGGGTTTTGGGTGAAGTAGAAAAAACAGCTTTATTTCTTTGCTAACGGGGGCCACAGTGGGCTACCGCTCTCAGAACTGTGTGTCCCCACCTGGAGGGAGTAGTGAGGAGTTTTATAGTATTGGCGTGATAAAGACGGTGTGATCAGCTCCTGAACATTCTTCTGATTGGCTAGTGGTGAGTCAAGTGAGAATCAGCTTCATTAACCTTCTGTTGACAGCCAGTGTGGGGTCAGTGTGTTGTGGGCAGCATATAGTTAATTTCTCCACGGGTTGGAGATTTCAACATCTGCCGAACAGCTCAAAGACTGTGCTGTGTGTAGCCCCGGAGCGGGAACCAGGACCCTGTCCCAAGGCTGCACTATTGTTTCTTAACTGCTCCTCCCTAGTCTCCATGTCCCCTCCCTTCCCTGAATTACATCTGTTTGCGCCTGCCTCTTGAACTCGGAGAGGTCATGGAGGCTGAATGAAGCACGTTTCCTGCAAACAAGAGATGGGGAGACACAGAAAGGCTTTAGCTAACAGGAGCATCACAGGAGCATCACAGGACCCTGCTCGGTATCACTTTGACCCTGTAAGTCTTTTTGTTCTCAGAGCCCAAGATTCCGACCCCTACATCAGAGCTGACAGAGACTGTGGTCTGTGCCCTGAGGCTGGCCATGGGCCTTGTGGGCATCGTGGCGGGCACTGTCCTCATCCTCCGAGTCTGGTGCTTGGGTACTGCCTCCAGACGTCGAAGGGCCATGTGAGTCATGGCCTGAAAGATGGGAAGGTAAAGATCAGACCTGGAAAGATGGCACTGCAGGCAGGGTGCAAAACTGGCATCCAGGATACCTACATGTGTTTGAACAACTGTGGGCAAATTGGAGATGGGTTGACGTTCGGACAGAGTTACCACCAAAATCTTGTTTTTCTCTGCCCATCGATGCTGAATAAAAAATACGGAGACAGAGTTTGGAGGAATAGAAAGACGGCTTTAGTCGGCTGAAGGAAGAACACAGCAGAATATAGCAGGCTAGTGCCCTGCGCTAAGGGGAATTGGAGGGGATCATACAGCTGGGGCTCACAGTCCGAGGTCTGTGATCAGGAACAAAATAGTGAGAGTCTTGCATTCTTCTTCTTTATTGTTTCAAAACAGAACTGGCTTCAGGAAGCCAGATAATTGGGTCAGTTTGTCTCTGATTTATAATATTGCAGCCCTCTTTCTGCAATGCAAAATGCTACAAGGGGTGGTCTGCAAAGGGAGCCCTGGGAAGGTAAGCACCAGGTGCAGGATGTAATTTGCATGGGGTTCGGGGGCAGTAGGTACCGGATATAATTTACATAGTGTGAGGTTCCTTCTTCAAGATACCGGCCACAGTTTAGTAACCTTGAAAGGAAAGCTAGGAGTGATTAACTCTTTCAGGCCCGTTTATGCTTCTCTCATCTGCTCACCGTTCCTTTTACTTGTTCTCAGGAGAGGAAAGTCTTCATTTCTGTTCTCGCTGCAACAGCAGGGGCACAGGACCCATCAGCCTCATGCTGTTTTAGGTGATCAATCTTTACAAGAAAAAAAAGGCATGGTTCAGACTCCAGTTCCCCGTCTTGACCTTGACTGAGACGTGCTCCTTGTTCCAGTTCATCACAGAGCTCCTTCCACGCCCTCCTGCCCTCCCTGCTGGGGTGGACTTTATGGAGGAATCTTCCTTCGAAGGTCACTGACCCTTAGGAATTCTCCCAACTTAGTCTTTGGTTCATTGCCTGCCTGTCAGAGAGAGACCTGGATTGTTCCAGCCAGCCATCTAGTTCTCGGTCACCCTAACCCAGCATCTGTTCCAAACAGATAAATAAATCTTGCACCAGGAGATTGTCTTAGTAAGTGAAGTAAGTCAGAAAGAGAAAGACAAATACCACATGATATCACTTACGTGTGGAATCTAAAATAGGACGCAAGTGAACCTACCTATGAAACAGAAGCAGGATCAGGAACATAGAGAATGGACTGGTGGTCGCCAACAGAGGAAGGGGATGGGAGTAAATTGGATTGGGAGTTTGGGATTAGCAGATGCAAACTGGTGCATGTAGAATGGATACACAGGGTCCTAGTGTGCAGCTCAGGGAACTGCATTCAGTATCCTGTGAGAAACCATAATGGAAAATGACAAGAATATACACAGATGTATGTATGTATAACTGAGTCATTTTGATGTACAGCAGTAATTAACACAACATTGTAATTCAACCCTACTTCAATAAAAAGAAACTTTTAAAAAAGACAAATCTCTTTCTGGGGTACTTTTGCTCAGGGTGGCCACTTTCTCTGTCTGTTTCTAGGGCTACATAACTCCTACCTAAGCATGGAAGCCCCTGTGTTGGAAGGCTCACGGAAATCTCAGCTCCGTGGAAACTGCTTCTCGGGTCACATTAATACCACGCAGCCAAAGTGTGAAAATGATATCCTTAAATGGGGACCTTGTTTCCTCCCTAAACTTCCTCTTCGCTCTCTCTCTCTTCTTACATTTAGGTATCAGTGAATATAAAGCAAAATTTCTACCCTCAGGGAAAAGTGTATATATCTAACATGCAAAAAAGTGTGTGTGGTGGGGGGTGCCAATGTTCCAAGTGTTTAATTTTAAAAGAGAATTCTAAGTCTGTGCAAGAGACCAGACATCAAAATAAAACCTTTTAAACATCAAAACTGGATTATGAGAGTGCAAAGTCAGAAACATGAATCCGTGAAGGAGGCAGAATGATGTAAGAGCTCTCCTCCCCATTTTCATCCTGGTGAGATAGAAAGTCTCCAGGTGGGATGAGAAAGAGCGTAGAAGTGAGAACATAGAATAAGATAATGCTGTCTGTATCTCAGAAAACGCCCCGCACTTTCTCTTATCTGGGTTAATATCAAGGAGGAAGGAGGGACTGGCTGACAGGGTGTAGAGCACGGGCAACCTCACTGCCCTGTAGCAATACTATAAGTACAATGTAAATACAGTCCACCCTCAAGTTCATAAATTGTGTGTTTTTATTTTTAATTTATTTTATTTTCAGTTGTGATGCACGGCAGGGGAGATCTAAGTTCTCTGTCCAAGGATTGAACGGATGACCCTTACAGTGGAAGTGAGAGTCTTAACCATTGGACCCCCAGGGAAGTTCCAAAATTAGGTTTATTAACATACTATCTTTAATTGGTATTGTATGAGTATTAAGACCACCCTATTTCAAATTTTTATACAATATAATCCTTTCAGTTCAGTTCAGTTCAGTTGCTCAGTCGTGTCCAACTCTTTGCGACCCCATGAATCACAGCACACCAGGCCTCCCTGTCCATCACCAGCTCCTGGAGTTTACTCAAACTCATGCCCATCGAGTCGGTGATGCCATCCAGCCATCTCATCCTCTGTCGTCCCCTTCTCCTCCTGCCCCCAATCCCTCCCAGCATCAGGGTCTTTTCCAATGAGTCAACTCTTCGCATGAGGTGGCCAAAGTATTGGAGTTTCAGCCTCAGCATCAGTCCTTCCAATGAACACCCAGGACTGACCTCCTTTAGGATGGACTGGTTGGATCTCCTTGCAGTCCAAAGGACTCTCAAGAGTCTTCTCCAACACCACAGTTCAAAAGCATCCATTCTTCGGTGCTCAGCTTTCTTCACAGTCCAACTCTCACAACCATACATTACCACTGGAAAAACCATAGCCTTGACCAGATGGACCTTTGTTGGCAAAGTAATGTCTCTGCTTTTTAATATGGTATCTAGGTTGGTCATAGCTTTCCTTCCAAGGAGTAAGCGTCTTTTAATTTCATGGCTGCAATCACCATCTGCAGTGATTTTGGAGCCCAAAAAATAAAGTCTGACACTGTTTCCACTGTCTCCCCATCTATTTCCCATGAAGTGATGGGATCAGATGCCGTGAACTTAGTTTGGTGAATGTTGAGCTTTAAGGCAACTTTTTCACTCTCCTCTTTCACTTTCAAGAGGCTTTTTAGTTCATCTTCACTTTCTCCCATAAGGATGGTGTCATATGCATCGCTTTAGCAACCATAAAACGGGCTGTTGAGAGGATCCATGAGGTAATACACATAAAACACTTAACCTAATGGGTGTCACATGGAAAGCACCCATTATGTTACCTCTGACTGTAATTCATATTATCTGGAACCAAAACTCCAATCTCAATGTCCAAACTCCAGGGGTCACTTGCTGAGCATTCTTTTTGCTTAAACTACTTAATTTTATAAACATCTTTACACCAATCCCAGGCATGAGGCATTCTTAACTTTCTTGTTTCTTGGCCTTTCTTTCCTTTTCTATTTCATTATGGTAGAAGAGGCATAACTAAAATTTACCATTTCAACCATTTTGAGGGTGTGGTTCAGGAGTGTTAAATACATGTACATTGTGTTGTGCAACCATTACCATCAACCATTACTTTTTCATCTTCCTAAACTGAAACTCTGTAACTACTAAATGACGCCTCTACTTCCACCCTCCCTTCAGGCCCTGATAACCACCATTCTACTTTTTTTATTAATTTTGTGTGTGTGTGTGGCCGTGCTGGGTCTCCATTGCTGTGCAAGGGCTTTCCCTAGTTGTGGCAAGTGGGGTCTGCTCTTTAGTTGTGCATGGGTTTCTCACTGCGGTGGCTCCTCTTGTTGCTGAGCACGGGCTCTAGGTGACCAGGCTCAGTGGTTCTGGCTCATTGGCTTAGTTGCCCCACGATGTGTGGGATCTTCCCTGACCAGAGAGCAAACCTGTCCCTTGCATTGGTAGGCAGATTCTTAGTCACTGGACCACCAGGGATATCCCCATTCTACTTTTTATCTCTATAAATTTGACTATTCAAGACACTTCACATAAATGTAATCATACAGTATTTGTCCTTTTGTGACTGGCTCATTTTAATTTAGCATAATATCTTCAAGGCTCAGCCATGTCGTAGCCTTTGTCCACTTTTCCTCCCTTGTTAAGCTTAAATAATATTCCACTGAGCTTCCCAGGCGACTCAGTGGTAAAGAATCCACTTGGCAACGCAGGAGACACAAGACACACAGGTTTGATCCCTGGGTCGGGAAGATCCCCTGGAAAAGGAAATGGCAACCCGCTCCAGTATTCTTGCCTGGAAAATTCCATGGACAGAGGAGCCTGGAGGGCTACAGTCCATGGCGTTGCAAAGAGTTGGACACGGCTGAGCAACTGAACACACACAGTGTTCTGTTATCTCCGTATACTCCATTTTGTTTATCCAGTCAGCCATCAACAAATGTTTGAGTTGTTTCCACCTTTGGCAACTGCGAATAATGCTTTTGTGGACATTGTTTATTTAGTCCCTGCTTTCCGTTCTTTGGAGATATAATAGACTCCAATTGCTAGATGAAATGGTAATTGTATGTTTAATTTTTTGAGGACCCACCATACTGATTTCCACAATGGCTGCACCATTCTACATTCCTATCAGCAATGTACATGGGTTCCTATTGCTCCACATTCATGCCAACACTTGTTATTTTCTGAGTTTTTGGTCATAGCCATCCTAATGGATGTGCATATAACTACACACAAGAAAACGGTGATTCTCATAAACAAAATATTTATCAAAAGAAACAAACAGAACCAATAAGTAAAGTAATTTTGTATTTATATTAAATTCAAAGTCATGCATGCATAAGAAAAATAAGATAATTTTCACAAAATTCAGAGTAATATTTTCCTCTTAAAGTAAAAGATAGTAATCAGAAGGTACACACAAGATGCTCCTGGGAAGCTGGCTGTGTT